ATACAAAATGCATAATACAAAAGTATTATCCTTATAAAACGAATTTAAACGAAATAAACAATGACGATACGAGATGTTTGAAATTATTTATTTAAAAAAAAAAAATACCTCCGATATCCAATTATGTACAAGCTATTGAAACAAGCACGATACGAAAGAACATTTCTCAATCCATTCATATTCTCGATATCTATTCAAACGAATTCGAGTCGACGAATTAAAATCGAAGGAAAAAGAAAAAAAAAAATTGACGGCTTGATTGGTTCGAGAGGCAACAAAATATTGCGTTGACTTCTGAAATTTTTTTCTTTTTTCTTTTTATTCCAATCGAGCTAGTTTCTATTTCTATCCTGCGACAACTCACGTAGTCGAGTTTTAATTTAAAGCTCCAGCAAAGAAAGCGAACGACACGCGTCACTTCCCCCGTGTTCTCTCTTTCTCTCTCTCTCTCTGTCTCTCTATTTATCTATCTATCTATCTATCTATCTATCTATCTATCTATCTAGAGAATGTTTAAATAAAAAAACAGAATATATATTTCGTGCAGAGAGGATACATATGTGTTTGTATTGGAGGAATGAAAGTATCGAGATTGCATCTGAATCGAAGAAATAATAAATGGTCAAATTATCGATGAATGAAATTATCGATAATATCGTCGTTGAGGAATGTATCGTTATGGAGAGAAGAGAAGAAAGCGAAGTGGATTGCGATGTAGATGATAATGAAATTATTCGAAATGTGTGTGATTTTTATTAAAGAAAAATATGTTAAATTTTTATAATTTTATTCTTCTATCTTAATTTAATATTATAAGTATTTTTTTTTCGAGATTATATCAAGTTATAAGATATTTAAATAAATAATTATAATCAATATTTATCTGATTTTCTTATTAGAGATTATCTGTTATGCATATGTGTGCAACTGTTGTTGAAGCATTGTCACTATTGTTCGATTTTATATTGGAATTATTAAATATTAAAAAAAGAACATGAAGTCGTGAAACTTTTTCTTTAATATAACTTTTTTATCGATTGAATAATGTTCGGTGAAAGAGAAAGAAGAATCAAAAATTTACAAAGATATTTAGTTACATAAATTCAAATTTTTAATATCAATAACAAAAAATAATATTAATGAATAATTTTAATCCAAATATGGAATAGCCAAACAATTGCGTGAAAATCATTCAACTTTTGATTTTAACAATTCTTATAATAAAATTATAATAATAATGAACAGCAAATGAACACCAAATAATCCAATTAAATAAATAAAAATCTCTTCTCCCATAGGTATAACAATATCATCTTAAAATTTCAAATGAAAACACATCCTAATATTCAAATATAATCATTACAACAACGCGTATACCTATAATTTCTCCACTACTTCCGGTTTCTTCTTCTTTCGAGAAACGACAGAGAAAATTCGGCACGTGTACAAGAGAGATATAATTTGCTCGTCAGTCGAGTTTCTCTCTGTGCAAAAGTGGACCGGATTCGGACTTACCTGAGTATGTTTGGATGGCTGAGCTTGTTCATTAGCTGGACCTCTTTCAACATGTTCGGTCTGTTCGCGGGCAGCTGGTTCATCTTCAGGACCATCACCTGACTCGTCACTTTGTGAGTAACCTGGAAAATACGGATGCACAGATGTTCATTATAATTTCATCCATTTTACACGCCGTTTTGCCGCGAACCCTTGACCGTTTAAGCGTTTTCTGATTACGTTTAACGGTTACTCGAGGACCGATCTATTAGATTTGGATCTTGGATTCGATGTTATTGAAAAATAATCGGCAAATATTTAAAAAAAAAAAAAAGAGTCATCATAATATGCAATATTGCCAAGGTTTTATACGACGATCATTGTTTAATTATTAAATAAAATACAACAAAAATAAAAGTTAGGTTAGGTTAGATTAATTGGTAAATACTTATAAAAAAGAATCAAGTTATCATATTATATAATATTGTGAAGATTTTTACTTGAAGATCGTTTACTTAAATAATTAAAATAATTAAATAATATAATTAACAAAAGTTAAGTTATAAAAATAAAATAAAAGTTAAGTTAGGTTAAGTAAGATTAATTTAAATAATAAATAAATATTTAATATAGTATAATTGTGAAGATTTTACACGATGATTATCGTTTAATTATTAAATAAAATTAACAAAAATAAAAATTAGGTTAGGTTAAATTAATTGATAAATATTTACAAAAAAAAATCAAGATTATCATACTATATAATATTGTGAAGATTTTGGAGATCATTGTTTACTTAAATACTTAAAATTAACAAAAGTTAAGTTATAAAAATAAAATAAAAGTTAAGTTAGGTTAAGTAAGATTAATTTAAATAATAAATAAATATTTATAGTATAATTGTGAAAATTTTATACAACAATATCAAATGTTTAATTATTAAATAAAATTAATAAAAATAAAAGTTAGGTTAATTAATTAAAAAAATTAATTAGATTAGGTTAGGTTAATTTGTAAATACTTACAAAAAAAAAAGTCAAGGTTATCATGCTGTATTGTGAATATTGTGAAGATTTTACTTGACAGTCATTGTTTAATTAAATAGTTAAAATTAACAAAAATAAAAGTTAAGTTAGGTTAAATAAGATTAATTTAAATAATAAATAAATATTTATAGTATAATTGTGAAGATTTTATACAACAATATCAATTATGTTTAATTATTAAATAAAATTAATAAAAATAAGAGTTTAAATTAAATTAAGTTAGGTTATGTTGTCACGTATAGAATAACCTACTGTCGATAATTCATTCGATTCGTATCGAATCGAAAATTAATGAATTTCACTCGTACTTGAAACATTTTCAAATGATTAATTTTCTCGAGGACAAAGTCTCGAATTTTATTACACTTTTTTCCTTATTTCTTCATAAGGAATTATCCTATTTCCTATATTTATACATATTATTCTGTCTCTATATAAGAATTAAAACATATCTTTATGTTAATTCTATATTTCTATATCTTCATATTAATTCCATTTCTACTAGTTTATATTTCGAAAAAAAAAAATTTGAATAAAGATAAGAATAAGAATAATATACATATATAAATATAAGCAATCGTTTAAGAGTAAGATGAAAAAAATGGAATGTCGACTTAATTGACAGCTCGTTAATAGCTCGCTCGACAAGAGTATTTATTATCGAGATTCGAAATGAGTCGATCGACTACCAACGTTTCCATTGTGGATAAGAAAATTATTCTCTGATTAACCGTGAACGTGAATAAACAAAGTCGTATTTCGTATCATAGAATATGCGTGTTCTACGTTTTTACAGCTCGAAAACGTCAGATCTGTTCTCACGAGACAAGTATAATATATTAACGAGTCGTGACAGTCGAGTATGCGTATAATACGATCTAATAATGGAAATCTAGATTTTTCATTTTTTCTTTTTTTTAATACGATTACAACGATTGCAATAAAACACGTATATCTAATTAAATAATTAACATGTGCTATGTATACTTATTTAATAGCACTTCAATAATAATGTCACTATTATTGTCCAATTTTTTGTTACCTGTTAATAATACCTGCTAATGTATTAGTACCAATGAGGAAATTATATACGTGTGTACAATTATCATTATTTTTAATAAAATTACTATTTTTAAAAAATAAATAATATAAATTTCTTCTTGCTAAAATAATTTCTTTTCTCTTCCAATCATTTCCAATCGAATTAAGATTAATTTCACTTGTTAATAGATTTATTTAAGACATTTCTTATTTATCTATATCTATGGACAAACGTCAAATTGATATCACAGTATTCAGAGATTAGAAGAAAACGAATTCGAAATATATTTGTCTCATCAATTGGATAAAAATCAGTACGAAACGTGAATTTCTGCAATTTTTCAAATTTTCAAATTTATTATGGCGTCCCGCCATAATAAACCTAAAATCGAGTCAGCTTAGAGAAAAGTGCATATCCATTATTTTTTATAGTTCTTCGAGGAAAATTTCATCAAAAATTCTAATGAAAATCTCTCTGTTAACTAAATTTAACGCGATCTCGAAATATTGGCCGATGATAGAGGCGGGCTCCGCAGAGGAATTCGTAAAAGTGCGGGAGGCGGCGAGGCGAGGAGGCGTCCCGTTACGCGAGTCACTCGGCGAGAGCAAATTAAAACCGGAAGCAGCCCGATTTCGTGCGCAAGCCCGCTCGAGGATTTGAGGCTTCCACGGTGCGAGAGTCGTTGTAACGAGCCGTCGAGATGCGATAACACGAGTTTCCATATAACTCCTTCGGGGGAGGGTCGAAATTAACCTATCGCCACTTATGAGATTGATTGTCGAGGATTTTCGATTTGTATTTTGTAAACAAAAATTAATAAAAATAAAAGTTAGGTTAAGTTAATTAAAAAAATTAATTAAAAATTAATTAATCCATTGATCGAATGGACGATTGTGGAATGGAGAGGTGGTAAGTATTCTAGGATTTGTATTCAGATTTTTTTTTTGAGAGAGAGAGAAATTTAAAAAATGGGGGAGAATAGTAACATTAGAAAGAAAAAAAAGAAGAAAATAGTTGTGAATATGACACAAGTTGGAAGATTGTCACAATTGAGTCAATTGTAATTTGTAAATTAATTGTAAATTGTTTGAATAGGAGAATAATTGATAATTCTCAATAATTCTCTCTTTAGATATAATCCTAAGTTTAACGAGAATTAACATATTATTCTAAATATTCTAATTAATCGAGGAGGCTAATTCTAATTAATTTTCTTTTTCATTTTTATTAAATTTCGTATAACATTATAGTTCTTCTTCAAGTTATTTCCTCAAGATTCTTTGGAATATACTTTCCTTTTCGTGTTCTTTCGTTTCCTTGATCGTTATGCATACGCCGTTTTGTGAATCACGAAACACGAGAAGATGAATCAATGAATAATAAAAAAGGATAATTTTATCTTCATTATGCATATAAACAAAGTTGAAGGATGTACATCAAAAATAATATTGATTTTTGTAATTTAAAGAAAAAAAAAATAGACAAATATTTGAAAATTATTAATTTTTCTTCAATAAATAATTCATATTTTAATAATAAAATGAAATAGTAATGAATTTTATGAATAAAATTGACAAGGATTGTTATGAATTTTTAAATGGTAAAGTATATGATAATTTTAAAATATAGATATGTAATCTAAGCGATTTCAAAAGTTGAGTGTATGAATATATGTATTAAAGTATTTGAATTAATTTGATTTTGCAATTATTTTTTCTTTAAAGCATAAAAATTAATATACATATCAACTAATAATTAGTATTTAAGAATTAATAAATTATGTTTTTCTCAAATGTATAAATAGATAAATACATATATATATTATATATATTAAAATACTGGTAATTACTTTATAGAATTAAAATTCTACAAATATTAGAATCTCAATTTTTATAAATTTTTAAAACTCACAGAACATATAAGTTCTTTTTTTATCATAAACATTACTTTTTTTCTTTTTTTATTAACTTCAAGTCACAATTACATAATAATGTTTTACTTTAAAAGTAAAATTGAACAAAATTATAATAATAATATCAGAAGACATATGATGCCAATATTTACTTAAAAATGATAAATTCTTAAAACTTACATGTAAGTCTTTTTTCATCATAAACATTACTTTTTTTCTTTTTTTATTAACTTCAAGTCACAATTACATAATAATGTTTTAGTTTAAAAGTAAAATTGAACAAAATTATACTAATAATATCAGAAGACATATGATGCCAATATTTCCTTAAAAATGATAAATTCTTAAAACTTACATGTAAGTCTTTTTTCATCATAAATATTACTGTTTTTCTTTTTTTATTAACTTCCAGTCACAATTACATAATAATGTTTTAGTTTAAAAGTAAAATTGAACAAAATTATACTAATAATATCAGAAGACATATGATGCCAATATTTCCTTAAAAATGATAAATTCTTAAAACTTACATGTAAGTCTTTTTTCATCATAAATATTACTGTTTTTCTTTTTTTATTAACTTCAAGTCACAATTACATAATAATGTTTTACTTTAAAAGTAAAATTAAACAAAATTATATAGCTTATAAAAATTTACACTTTCAAATTCAAAATATCAGAAGACATATGATGCCAATATTTACTTAAAATATTTACTTAAAAATAATAAATTCTTAAAACTCAGAGAACATGTATGTTCTTTTTTCATTATAAACATTACTTTTTTTTTTATTAACTTCAATTTACAATGATATAATAATGCTTTACTTTAAAAGTAAAACTGAACAAGAATGATATAGCTTATGAAAGTTTATACTTTCAAATTCAAAATATCAGAAGACATATGATGCCAATATTTATTTAAAAATAATAAATTCTTAAAACTCACAGAACATGTAAATTCTTTTTTCATCATAAACATTACTTTTCTTTTTTTTTTTATTAACTTCACAATGATATAATAATGCTTTACTTTAAAAGTAAAACTGAACAAGAATGATATAGCTTATGAAAGTTTATACTTTCAAACTCAAAATATCAGAAGACATATGATGCCAATATCTACTTTAAAACTACTATTTT